AGCCATTTAATACTATTAATAGTATTTCATAGTATTAGACTGACTGGCTCCTGGAAGCCCTGTAAAGATCCTGCTTCAAGCTTTGTAAGTTTAGGGTCTCTCTTATATGTAGTTAGTTTTCCTATCAGCACATCTTTCATATTTGTGAAGTTTGGTAGCCTTGGGAACAGTGGTATCTGAAGCTTGGTGTTGGTACTAGAGGGTTAAAAAGTGAAATGTCCTTTGTGCTCTGTGCTTCCTGGTTTGTTTGTTTTTAGGAGCTTGTGAAGCAGCTCTCTCCCTCTGGTGTTGGAGGCTGCCCCCAAGAACTCTGTGTCCAACCAGGTTGATGAGAAGCTCAGCATAAATGAAGTGGCCTTTCCCTGCTTGGACACTTATAATAGGAAAATCACTAGGAGTGGTGTGATCAGAAAGTGAATGAATTCTTATCCTTTCTTTAGCCAAGTACGTACAGGGTGTTGATTTACCCAAAGCAAAAAGGGTCTTGAATGTCCTTAGGATTGTCCAGCTATAAAGAAATACCTGGTTCCCAGTGTGAATGTTTTATTCTATCATTAAAAAGCAAAACCTGTACTCCTAGGAGCCTGAGAGAGACAGACAGGGAACACCCATAGAAAGAAGTAGATTTCTTTAGATTGGCATGCACCAGATTCTTAGGGATCTGCAAAGTCCCAAGTCAGGACAAGCTAAATGGAGGCAGAATCCTCCTGCATGAGTACCTCCAGGCAAAAAAGAGTCTATTCTGTTTGTTTTGAGTCTAGGAAGGAGGAAATTTCTTGGTTCTGTTTACTGGAATTTCCCCCCTCTACCTAGACTGCATATCATAGATGAGTTCAGCTCTCCCTCTCCCGCCTCCCCACCTGAATTCTTGGATAAACTAACTTGTCGCATTTCCCACCTCCACCTGGTCATGGCCATTGTCTGTGAGAACCTAGCGTTATTGGTCCCATTGGATCTAATCTAGTTAACAGTAACTACTGATATCAATCCAGATAGCTGCCAGGGGTATCAAGAGTGCTCAGGACTGAGGATGTTTACCATTCATGTCAAGATCTCTGTCTTTGGTGCATTTGATCCCCATGATCATTGTGCGGACAGCTCCTGCTCTCTTTCAGCCAGTCAGTGTTCATTTCCCACCAGCACACATTTTAGTGACCTCAGTTCTGAGAGCTGAAGATACATATGGTACACATTATGGAGACTACTTTCTAGAGAGGCTTATTGGCACACAAAGTTTGGTATGTGAATTAGAATGAATTGCATTGTGAGTGTTGTGAGTGTATGTTCTCCTAAAACACTGGTAAGTCTAGTTTTAGTAAAATGATATGTGTTCTGTTGTTTTGGTGACCATATCCAGGACTTTTGTATTCTTTTAGAAAGTAATTGTAGTAATTGCTATTGACTGATTTAGGTGCAACACTGTGAAATAGGAACTTGAATTTATTGTATTGGCTATTTGGAGATGTGTGTTCAAGTAACTTAATATCTCACAGATTTCATCAAAATAGACAAGATCACCTGATTATGCAAATCTTTATTAACTTCAGAAATCTGACAATTTGGGCTGTGATTCAGATTCAGAGTAAACCTTGAATAAAACCTCGTGGAATGCCTGGGTGGCTCAGTCAGTTAAGCATCTGACTCTTGATTTTGGCTCAGGTCATGATCTCACGGTTTGTGAGTTTGAGCCCAGCATCAGGCTGTGTGCTAACAGCGTGGAGCCTGCTTTGGATTCTCTGTCTCCCCTCTCTCTCTTTTCCTCCCCCACTCTCTCTCTCTTTTAAAAATAAATAAGCTTTGGGGTGCCTGGGTGGCTCAGTCGGTTAAGCGTCCGACTTCGGCTCAGGTCACGATCTCGCGGTATGTGAGTTCGAGCCCCGCGTCGGGCTCTGTGCTGACTGCTCAGAGCCTGGAGCCTGTTTCAGATTCTGTGTCTCCCTTTCTCTCTGACCCTCCCATATTCATGCTCTGTCTCTCTCTGTCTCAAAATAAAAAAAAAGTTAAAAAATTTTTTTTAAATAAAAATAAACTTTAGAAAAAAAGGAAATCTCAGTGTTTGTAGAAACTAAACAATAATGTAGACCTTATTTTTGCTGGAATAATCCTATATTATTATAATAGGAGCTGCCCATCTCTCTCAGCTATATCCATATGTGTAAACATCTGTCTCTATAACAATCTCATTTTAATCTCTAGTACATTTGTATTGTTACTTTCTCCCATCCTTCCAGAAATTTTGGCGTATTTTTGGAAATGTTCCAAAGGATTTTATGCAGGTACTTCATGAATGTACAACAGAAGTCATTTATTTCTTGTCTACTAAAAGTTTACCTTTACTTTTTTCTTTTTTGTCACATTCTTGTTTAAAGAAACTGAGGTGGGGCGCCTGGGTGGCACAGTCAGTTAAGCGTCCGACTTCAGCCAGGTCACGATCTCGCGGTCCGTGAGTTCGAGGCCCGCGTCAGGCTCTGGGCTGATGGCTCAGAGCTTGGAGCCTGCTTCCGATTCTGTGTCTCCCTCTCTCTCTGCCCCTCCCCCGTTCATGCTCTGTCTCTCTCTGTCCCAAAAATAAAATAAAAAACGTTGAAAAAAAAAATTAAAAAAAATAAAGAAACTGAGGTGAATAGGCCTTTAGTGTGAAGTTTTGTCTTTACCTGGCTAGGTTTTAGGCTGAGTTTACTCCCCTGTGAGACAGGAAGGAGGAAGAGCACTGTAGTTGAGTATTTCCCTTGATCTGCATTGCTTATCTTTAGGAAAACCCGTATTAGGCTTTGGAGAAAAAGTTTCTCTTGAGGACAGACCTTCTAAAGAAGAACAGAATACCATGAGTTTATTTCTAAATGGCTGTTTTTCCTCTTTTTTTTGCCAATTTAGAAATCTTTCCCTTCAAAAAGAAAATATGAATGTTAAGTATTTGTAAGGCCATCTCTCCCTGCTTAGGAAAGGAAACATGTGACCTTAATGGACTATCCATGCTTTTCTGTTTGCCCTCCATAGATACACTTTCTTATAACAACATTATTATGACTAGCTTTTTGATACCCTGATGATATTCCAATATCCTGGCAAGGTGTTGGGGCTCGCTTCAACATCACATCATCATTTAAAACTTTCGAATACAGATATACGTTCTAGGGGTCAAGACAATGTGTCTACCTTTTGTTAAAGTAGAGTCTTGCCTGGATTTCATTGAGCTATAATTCATCAGGGGATGACTTGGGTCTGGGTGTTACTGAACCACCAAGACCAGGTTCTTAAGTCTCAGTGTCTTAGTAATGAACACTGAATCCAAGGGAAACAAAGCAGGCGGAGTTTATTAGAGATAGCTCGCATACAATGGAGCCAACAAGAAAGAGGAATATCGATCCCCGAAGGGGTGGTGTGCCAGGCTTATAAAGGCACTTTTCCAAAGGGTGAGGGGCTGGGAGTGGGGAAGCATCCTTCAGTCCCACAGTCATTATTTTGTGGTTGTTATTTTTCAGTGGACACAAGACAATCACAGGATGTCTTTTTCCATGGTTGACATTCTTATTTAGGGCTCCTAGAAAATGAAATACTTGTGCAGTCAGGCTTTAAATTGTTACTTCTGATTTTGCCCAGACAACCATTATTCCCTGATACCTGTTATCTCTCTTTTGTTCACTTTTCCAGAAAGAGGTATAGAAACTTCTGATCCTTGCCTCAGACCAGTTCCCTTTTAGGAGTTCAGTTCCTCTTGCTTTTCTTATACCCTCTCACAGGGATCTCTTTTTGCTTTTTTTTTTTTTTTTTTTTTGAAATGTTAGGCATCATTTCTTTTGTTGCCTGTGCTTTTTCTCTAGCCATGTTTCACTCTCTTTCTTTCTCATTTGATGACTTTTTTTTTTGGAATACCCTCTGTTTTTAGTGATCTAGGAAAATCATAGCACCTGACATGTTTTAATTGTTTATTGATTCAGAAAGCAGCCAACCCTGTGTAAGATTTCAGAAAGCCTTCTGGAAAATGAAAGGGGCATATCTTAGTACAAAGGTTTTCCTTTTCTTTCCTCTCCCCTCCCTTCCTCCTTGCCTTGCCTTCCCTTCCCTCCCCAGCGCTCCCCTCCCTTCCCTGTCCCCTCCACCTCTCGCTCTCTTTCTCTCTCCTTCTCTCATTCTCTCTCTCTCTCTCTCTCTCTCTCTCTCTTTCTTTTGTCCTTTCATATGATCCCAGGTTCTGGACTTCAGTGTGCATATTGGGTTTGACTACAAGAGAAAAAAAATCAGGCAAATATCTTAATTATATATTTTTATTTTTTTATTTTTTTTATTTTTTATTTTTTTTAAGTTTTTTTTTTTTTCAACGTTATTTATTTATTTTTGGGACAGAGAGAGACAGAGCATGAACGGGGGAGGGGCAGAGAGAGAGGGAGACGCAGAATCGGAAACAGGCTCCAGGCTCCGAGCCATCAGCCCAGAGCCTGATGCGGGGCTCGAACTCACGGACCGCAGATCGTGACCTGGCTGAAGTCGGACGCTTAACCGACTGCACCACCCAGGCGCCCCAATTATATATTTTTAAAACTCTCTGCATTATGCACTGACAAAATTGAATATGTTGATGTTTATTTAATAGAATGTAAATCTATCTTTTGCTCAAAATAAGCCATGAATCTTTATGCTTTTATCAGAAATAGTTTATAAAGAATCATGAACTAAATATGAAATTCTAATTTTTTCTTATATTTAATTTATGAATTCATTAAGCTGAACAAAATGATGATTGTAATTTCATTGGATTACATTTAATATTTTATCAGGAGGTATAAGTTTTTACTAATAATATGTTTTGTTTTTTTTTTAATTTTTTTTAACGTTTATTTATTTTTGAGACAGAGAGAGACAGCATGAATGGGGGAGGGTCAGAGAGAGAGGGAGACACAGAATCTGAAACAGGCCCCAGGCTCTGAGCTGTCAGCACAGAGCCCGACGCGGGGCTCAAACTCACAGACTGTGAGATCATGACCCGAGCTGAAGTAGGATGCTCAACTGACTGAGCCACCCAGGCGCCCCACTAATAATATGTTTTGACCTCAAACTTAATTTTGTTTCTTCCTCTCTCAGGTACAGCCTCAAGTATATCAAGGTAAGATTTTAGGTTTTAGTATTCTTTGTAATTTTTTTTCAGTACTCGTGTTTGATGTGGATTTTAATTTTTTAACTAGGGATAAATATGGTGTCTTCTGATGTCTAATTAATTGACTGTTAGGAGGCTAAGTGACAATGTGGAGGGATTTGCTCTCTTAAGAGACCAGGGGAGGAAAACATCACAGGAGGAAGAAGAACAGAATGAGTGTAATTCTGCACAAAAATGGTTAGGAAACAAGTGATGATATATGATCCTGAGGTTTGGAGTGAGTACTTTGCCATGACCTGGCTCTTGATGAAATGTGAAGATGAGAAAACCTTCTTTGAGTCTATCAAGAAGCCTAAGCTTAGAGAAGAAGCCAGATATTGCCAGGAAGGGTGTGTGTCACAAGAGAGGTTTAAACCAAGGTTTTGAGTCTGAGGTGGAGGGAGCCAATCATGCCAGGGGAGAATGAGAAGTGAATGTGATACAAATGGGGGTAATGTATTCTGCATGGGCCCCATAGACGGTGGTGATTCTGTGGTGCTGTCTTGAGAGGGTGGCTGCCTGACCCATAACAAGTCCGCAAAGGCTAGTTGGTATTCATCACTGTGAATGCAGCGGTGGTGGCAGTGAGAAGAGTGATCTCAGGGCATGAGAGCTCTCACACTGGGTCAACAGAAGAGAAGTTTGCACTTTGTGGTCAGATGAGAGAATTAATTCCTGTTAAAGGAGTCTGTCTAGAGCTTACATGTGTTATCCACCTGTAATTGGGTGCTTCGTGTGTGTTGTTTTCCTCTAAGGTGGGAGGTAACATTCTCTTTTTGGGATGTAAAGCTTCTCTTTTAGGGGCTGTGAGTTATCCAGATCCTCCAGCAAGTGTGTTTTTTTCCAAAGACCTTGTCCTCCACAGCCCCCAAGCTAGGATTCATGAAAGGCAATCTGTGAGCAGCAGGAAGTCATTGAAGACTTTTGGGTAGTCAATCAATCAACATTTGGAGCTTTCCTTGTGTGGAATTCAAATAGCACCTATAAGTGGAAGTGGCACAAACCAGGACTAAATGATGGATTTGATTATTTGTTTGTTGGCAGGGACCTACTTACGTAATTTTATGATTGGAGGAGAGAAACATAAGTTGATAGGATTTGATTTTTCTCTTTCATCTCTGGTGGTGACATAAGTACTTGGAGTGATTGAATTTTCCAAGAAGGGTGCATCCAGATGGGAGAGAAATTAGGAGAAGACATTTTATTGCACTTCTCCATTTTGGACGATATTTTAAATAGGAATCTCGTTGATATAAGGTTTTCTTAGGTTTAAAATGCTGCTAAAACTTGATTTCTTCAGGCACAATGGAAAGCTAAAAAGTTACTTACACCCCCCGTCAGATAATGTGTCTGTACTAATGCACTGAGATTATTCGATGTTACTGGGTTTGCTAATAATCTTAGAAATTGTTTTCTCTCCTTTTAGTTAGTTTATAGCTAATAACTGAGAATATCAATACATTTAAAAAGAAAACAGAACTTGCTGATGAAGTATCCATTTGGGAGCAGAAGGGATCATTACCCTTTCAAAGATTTTTTCTGATTTCATTTTGGTTATTTGTACCTCTGGTAGTGTATCCTACTGACCTATTTCATGTGTTCTATAAACAGTTCTAGTTCAAGACAAGCTTCACAAATGTCAAGCACTGTCTGTTTATTTGTGGAAGGAATCACACATTAAAAGATAGTTTTGTCTATCACTATGCTATTTGTGAATTCTAATCCTTTGTCATATGTTTTATAGATCAATGAATCAAAGAAATGTCTTTAAGAAACTAAGAGAAATTAAGTTTCTTTCTGATGAAGCTCTTAAATTAAAGGTAAGAATCCCTTCTTTGCCTGGATTGCTTTCTCAAAACAGAAGTGAAAATAGTGAGTTATTATTACTGATCCATTGCATTTTGTTGAAGGAGGACATCGAAACAGTTGAATATTTTAATGAAATTTTAAGTGACAGTCTTCAAAGTGCACGTGCTACCTTGCAATCTGAGAGAGAGAAGAATGTCAAGAATAAGGGCTTGGTAAGAGTTGGCTGCTGAGTTTTACTGTCATTTGGCTTTGGAGGCTTTTTGTTCATTGGGTGAGGTGAGCACAGTATATTCACTTGCTGTTTACCACAGTAGAGATTGGGCCTCTGGGAGCCAAATCTCCATCTGCAATGTGAGCTGGAATTTCACTAGGATCACCATGAGGAGTTTTGCTATTTCAAGGACTAAGAAGTACCTTGTGTTTTCACAACTAGGTAATTATCACATCATTTCAGCTCTGCCCTCCAAGATATGAAGAAAATTCTAGAAGATATTTGAGCGATGAAGGGTGATTACTAGCCAAATTGTATAGTCCCTTCCTGTCTTAATGCTGAACAGATAATTTTCAATGTGAATAGGGAAGGAGATATCTATTATCTATCTATCTATCTATCTATCTATCTATCTATTGATATATATTCCACTAAGAAAGCCATTTGTGAGCTCTTTGATTTAAACTATTTTCTACCAAGTTGGCTTTCTCCTTGTTATATATATACCTCAGGATCTTTCTTTGTTGCAGTGTACAATCATGTTGTGTTAGGTGAATTCACATTGTTGTGTCATCATTATTTCTTGAATGTCTTTTCTCATATCTCTCTTAAAGTCACAAGATGGAAATGGTGAATTCGAGGATTGAGAGCTGACAACCTTGAGGTCCAATAACTGTGAACTGGAAGGTATGCTGTCTGTTGGGGAGAAATCCCCATATGAGTACATGACTTTGCATTGGGAAGGGAAAGAATGCCTTCTTGCCTTCATGGTTCTTGCCCTTTTCCTGTCACACCAAAGCCAACACTCAGGTCATGTGCACACTTATAAAGAAAATCCATTTTTTACAGAAAATAAAAAGGCCTTAGAAGACAAGTATAATGCCTTGAGGTCTGTGAAAGCAATCAAGGAAGTAAAAGTCAAACAGCTGAAGGAGAAAGCACATATCCTTGAAGAATTCTATAAACAAAGAAGAGTGGCTGCAGAAGAGTAAGATGTTCAAATATTAATTGTCACAAATCCTGTTGTATGAATGAATGTCGTGGCCGGTATAGAGAATTTTTGCCAAATGCATTCGGTAGAATTGTGCCTGACCTTCCTACCTTGCTTTCTGTAACCTGCATTTTCCCCTCTGTCCTTAGTGCTTGTCACACATTATTGTGTCATGTATTTAGGGTGAAAGAGGGAAGGTACCAGCATTAAGAACACTGATCCCTGATACCCTCTGGATCCATTTACATTGTCCCATGGATTTCAATCCTATCACATTGTCTTCTCAGCCGGGAATTAGGTTATTTTTGTTCAGCACCAGACATGGGTCAAAAATATGTAGGGGGGAACGCCTGGGTGGTTCAATTGGTTGAGCATCTGACACTTAATTTTGGCTCAGGTCATGATCTCGTGGTTTGTGAGTTTGAGCCCCACATTGGGTTCTGCACTGAAAATGCTGCAGCTGCTGGGGATTCTCTCTCCCCCTCTCTCTCTACCCCTCCTTCCCTGTCTCTCTCTCTCAAAATAAGTAAGTAAACATTTTTTTTAATTGGGTAAAGAGAAATTGAGTTATATTGCTGCAGAAACAATGGGAATTTCTTTCTGGAAAATGGGTTGGGGCACCAGCAGTACTGGACCCCTTCATGCAGTCTGCCAGTGAGGTTGTTCACTGCAGGCCCAGTCCCTAAGAAGGCCTGGGTATTTCCTGTCCCCCTGCATTTCTTATGTATAACAATCTTTGGTTCCAACCAAAACCTGCAGCTTCACTAGGGCTCATCTTTGCTGACTGACCCTCAACTACACTTGTTTACTTCTACGTCTATGTGCATAAAGTTATTTAGCTGCTTTGCAGTTCAGTTTTCTGTCCCTGAATGTATTGATGAGTCCTGGGGAGACTGGCTCCAGCTGCCAGGCTGGCTTTGTCCTGGGCTTCCTTCTTCTCCATCTTGGTCTCGTGTGTCTTCATGGGGTCGTTAGAAATTTGGTGCATTCACTCACTTGTTTCCTCCTTTGTGCAGTATTTCCTTTTGTTCTCAGGAGATCGGGGCCTTTAGAGTCCCTCATTCACGTTGAAAAGTAAACTCTTCCTTCCCTTCCCTGGAGACTCAGCTTCATGATAGTCCTTCCCACACCTGGGGTGGGGGCTGCTGTGTCTCATTGGCATCTTGTTTTTGTTAATTTGTAAGCTCTTTTTGGGAGTGGGTACAGAGCCCTGACCACCTTTCTATCTTCAGCCTCTTACAACAGAGCCACTACATTACAGCCGCTCCAGAAAGCATTTGCTGAAGGACTGCCTGAGAAGCCAGAGGGAAATGCACGTGTCTTTCTCTGTCTAGAGCTTTTTTTGTCAGTTTCTAAAAGTCAGGGCTCCCCGTGGAGGTGTAAGACTAATGATGATCTGTTGCTCCATCCTAATGGGTATAGTTGATCAGGCATGGTTTTTCACATTGGACTGAAATGAATCTTCACCATCCCAAACAAAAGACCAACTCTGGGAAGGCACAAAGTGCAATGTTATTTGATGACTTCGTAATGAAGGAGTAGAAGCAGAAAACTAGAAAGACACCTCCAATTGAAGAGACGTGGCAGCAGACAGAGGTTGATTTTAACTTAAATGAGATGTTCAGTTCATTTTTCTGATTGTGTTGTCAGTCTGCATTTATGGGAGAGGTGAGGGAAGGGATATTTGAATCTAGGCCTTCAAAAGTGCTGGGAGGTAAAAAGGAAGAACTTCTGGACCTTGGCTTCTGGATTAGGTATATATCTTTCTCATCTTAGGAAACTGAAAATGGCACAATGTGAACTGGTGGCAATTGAGAATCAACTGGAAGTTACAGAGGAAAATTTGAAAATAGCTAACAAGGAAATATACAAGTACAAGTGAGTTCAGATACTAATTAGCAGTGGCTCATGAAACCCCTGTCCATTTCTTGTTTTTCACATTTGTACAAATTTAGACTCAATTAACAAGTAATATAAATACATATTCAGAGGACATATCCATAGAGAATGAACAGATAGAAAAAGATAAGGTTTAGAAAGAACAAAAAACAGTCAAGTTACTAAACATTTACAGAACTCCAGTATTGGCCTGACCATGTGGAAACTTCATCCATGCCAACATTCCTCAGGGGTGGTGTCAACTCTCATAATCTATAGGAAAGCAGTGTGTGGTAGGATGAATTATACCCATCAACATGGTAGTGCCATTTGATGGCCCTGGTTTTTGGGAAATATGGTGAAGATATATGTTAAGGGACAAAGAGCTTTATGATGAAAGACACTTGTCACATGATGAATTAGGGAAAGATTAAAAATGGGAAGGAATTCTATGAACTCTGAACCCTATAGGCATGGAATAATGAGTAAGGAAAGGATGTAACAATAGCTTTGATCCTACTGTACATTTATAATCATGTAAGAATAAATTGTATCGGGGACAGATACGAGGTTGATGGGAACGTGGGCAGATTATTTAAAATCATACCCAATATTGGGCCTTATCTGCCAAAAGCAATTGTAACTCACAGGCAGCAAATTGAACAAACACAAGAACAGCTGCAGCAGGCAGAGCTCACCTTCAGACACCAGGTAATCTGAGTTCTGCCTGACATACTGAACCCTTAGCACCTCATGCAGGTGAGTGTAGTGGCCCTTGGAATCCCTAAACACGGGCTTTTCATTGTTGGCTTTTTCAGATTGCAGTTCATGAGAAGAATGCTCAGCACAACTGGATAAGTGTTTTCTTGTTTCCTCCTCTTTCTTTGGTGCACAGTCTGGCAAGACTGAAGGTGGATGTGTTTTTTCTCCCCCAGATCAAGACTCAGATCTGGGACAGGGAGATGGCAGAACAGAGCAGGGAGGTCGCCCACTTGAAACAGGTGTGGGAGCTTGACGTGTGGTTTTATGGGTGTTTCAAGGGATGACAGCTGTCCTGTTTAGTATCTAGTAGAGGGTGTGGTGTTGTAACTCTTCAGAAGTCCATTCTTTTTCTGTATCCAAGACTGGATGTTATGGAAGGAAAGAGGCTGCCTGAGGGACACATGGGACAGAAACCAATGCCTGGAAGACCAAAGATGCAGAACCCTCCAAGGAGAGGTAAGGAGCACATTGTGACACGCACTGGCCTAATTTCTGCTGCAAAGCCTGTTCCTTTCGGTGATCATTGTGTGGCCTGGACAGAACCACAAGCACTACCTAAGGATAGCAGGTGGTCTGAAGGGGTGACAGGAGGGTGTTCTCCTCTGGTGCCCTAGCAGCACTGCTAAATTTCTGTAGTTTTCCTTTTCTCATTAGTATAAGATTAGTCTAAGTACATTTCTATTCAGACATAGTTATAAAATAACTGCTCACATGTGGAAGGCAGCTTACATATAAGCTGAAGGATTGAACAATCCACCTGGAGCTAGAAGAAACACACACATTCTCTTCTGTTGAGGGTTCTTTGATGTTATCCGCCAATCGATACTCTCATTTGTATTCTTTTTTTTAGTTAAATTTTTAATGTTTATTTACTTTGTAGAGAGAGAGTGTGAGTGGGGAGGGGCAGAGAGAGAAGGAGACACAGAATCTGAAGCAGGCTCCAGGCTCTGAGCTGTCAGCACAGAGCCCGACGCGGGGCTCGAACCCACGGACTGTGAGATCATGAGCTGAGCCAAAATCAGATGCTTAACGGACTGAGCCACCCAGGCATCCTCATTTTTGTTCTTAATCGGTAATGAAATGGTGATTTCCCATGATGTACACTGAGAAACCTCTGTCTTAGTGATGACTTCTAGATTGCTAGTTGAGCCTGACCTGTCCACAGTTATTTGATTAATTACAAAACAACATGAACTAAGGCAACAGGAGGTCTTTATCAAGGTGAGGGGATGGTTCTCCCCCTTATCCTTGGGGGTCACCTGAGGCATGTGGGATACCCTCTGCCTCTGGTCAGGGACCTGCGTGTAGGGAAAAATTTAAGATATTTGAGGAATGAGAGGAGAGATTGTTTTCATTTCGCACAGTCCTCTAAAAGCAGAATAAACCTCTATCCCTTCCAGGGCCATTAGCAAATCCAGAAACCAGTGTGACCTCTGTGAGTTACAGCACCTCTGACTGTACCAAGAATGCAGGCAAGGACAAGGTAAATGCTGGGGCCATTCTCAGTTATTAAGTCTTTCGGGAAACCCTCCTCTTTCGGTACAGCACACTCTCCTGGCCTTGTCTCATTTTGCATGTTGTGTGGTATGTCTGTTTAATTCTTTGTTTTCCAAATGCACACTCATAATCCAGGAGCCCACAGGCTTCTCTGTTTTCATTCAGCTTATCGTCTTTCTGTGGTAAGTTTAGAATCTCGAAGAACTTACAGGTTGAAGACCTTAGGGCTTTTCCTGCGTGTTTCTGTAAATAACACAAGGAGGATGACCCCACACTCCACACTCCAGTCTCCTGGCCTGGCCGACTCCTTCCATGCCTCAACTTTGTGGGATCAATGTTATTGTCATTATTTTCCTGTTTTTGGTCAGGCAATTAATGTGTTCAGACAGTCCCCTTTTCACCAGAACCATGCACTTCCTGGGTGTTTCATATGCATGTTACATGCAATTTATGGTCGTGGCTGAGCGATGTTTGCTTTCAGCCCAGTCAGCTGCAATGGTCCACTTTGCCTGTTCCGAGCAGGGTTTGGTCCCTGTTACGGTAAGATTCCAGTCTGCTGCTGCCTTGGGCTTGTAGTTGGGTCTGACCAGATGTATCCATTTGTTGGGACTATGGTCACCCCTAACTGTAGGGTGCTCTTCCTGCCCCTGAGAGACTCTCATTAGTCAGTAGAGCCTTCAGTCAGCCCAGATATCTGCCACCAGTCTGTCTGTTGGGGTTGTAGTGACCCCCAAAGTGCAACACTTTCTCCTTGTGCAGCCCCTTTGAAGTTTTTATTGGTGGCCAAGGCCGGCATTCACATCAGATGTCTGCCTCCAGCCCACTGCGGGGGCTGCAGCCCACTGGTGTACATGGTTATCTTCCCCTCTCCCTGCGCCAGGACAGGCTGTCAGAGATGTTTGCGGAAAGAGTCATGTCAAGAATAGCTTTGCAGGGACTCTGGCTGGGTTGGGTGGGACTGGATGGCACAGTCCCTGGGAGAATGCAGGACAGGGCTCCAGGTGTAGCAAGGGAGGTGAAGAGCGTTCACACTGGTTCCAGCAAGTGTCTGTGTATCTAGGCTTGGGCAGGGTCAAGAAATGGTACCCACCTGGTCTTTCATTCTTGGAGAAGTCGGCTGGAAACCCCTGCCCCTGCTGGGCATGTTCTGAGATTAGTAAATAAATCTTCTATTGTGTTGCCGCCTTTCAAAGGGCTGCCTCTGCGTTTGCTGGCCTGGATGTTTGCTGTGCTGGCTCATTAAGGGAGGGGATCCCTATGGCTCTCCAGCTCTCCAGAGCTAAGCCCTCTGATTTTTAAAGTTCATGGACTTAAGGCCCACTGATTGTATAAACTCGTGAATTTAAGCCCCATGATTTTCAAAGACGAATATTATGGGGATTCATCTTCTCAGTGGAGGTTCCCCGTATCTGGGATGCATGGTGAGGGGTCTCTTCCTCTCCCATCTCTGCCTTTGTGGTCTCCCTCCCATTTGTGTTTGGTCTCCTTGGGAGTTCGGTACCAGCCTGCTCTTCTGCTTCCCTACCCTTTCCAGTGTAGCTCCTCTGAGCGATTAAGTGTGGACAGTCACTTCTGCCAGGTTTGGGGTTGTTTTCTAGGTTAGTTCTCCTAATATGACTGTTTTCTAGGTGCATCCATGAGATGAGGTAAGCTTAGGACCCTCCTACACTGCCATCTTCCCAGCATCCTTCATGACAGTATTCTTTTTCCAAATAGATTGCCCAGTTTTATTTGCTTGTTAATTTTTAAGTTTATATTTTTATTTAAAAACTTTTTAATCAAAATATTTTTTTTCAGGAATAGAATAGTGATTCATCACACCTTTAACACCCAAGGATAGTGCTCATCCCAACTAGTGTCCTCCTTAATGCCTCTCACCTCTTTAGCCTTTCCCCCCATCCAACACCCTACCAGCAACCCTCAGTTTGTTCTCTGTATTTAAGAGTCTCTTTTGGTTGGTCTCCGTTTCTGTTTTATATTATTTTTGCTTCCCTTCCCTTATGTTCTACTGTTTTGTATCTTAAATTCCACATATGAGTGAAGTCATAATGATATTTGTCTTTCTCTGACTGACTTATTTTGCTTAGCATAATAACTCTAGTTCTATCCACGTTGCAAATGTTAAGATTTCGTTCTTTTTGATCACCAAGTCGTATTCCATTGAATATATATCCCACTTCTTCTTTATCCATTTATCAGCATGACAGTATTCTTATTATGATGTCCTCTTGTAATGGAAGCATTTTGTCATGATTGGTTGCATCTGCTTTAAAATCAATATCTAGGGGAAGTATTTTTCTTATATTCTCAATAGTGTTTCAGGTGTAACATAATTTCCTAGTAGCATTATAATTCCTTTGAATTTAATTACAAAATATGACCAAATCTCACCCATCACTAGCTATATGATTAGATAGATCTTCATTATAGCAATCTCTAATTACTTTAAATTTGGAAACATCCTAGTATTTGGGCTTCAAATATGTTCTTGTGATCTTCTAAACTGTAAGTTATTTATTGCACAAAATGTAACATCTCAATCACTCCCAAAGCATTCTTTCATTTTAAAAATGATCTTTTCGGGGCGCCTGGGTGGCGCAGTCGGTTAAGCGTCCAACCTCAGCCAGGTCACGATCTCGCGGTCTGTGAGTTCGAGCCCCGCGTCAGGCTCTGGGCTGATGGCTCAGAGCCTGGAGCCTGTTTCCAATTCTGTGTCTCCCTCTCTCTCTGCCCCTCCCCCGTTCATGCTCTGTCTCTCTCTGTCCCAAAAATAAATAAACGTTGAAAAAAAAATTTAAAAAAAAATAAAAATGATCTTTTCCCTTGCAACCATCATCTAGTAAACTGTGATTTTAAGTGATTTTCTTAAACACTTCTGTTTGAAAAACATATTGATGAAGCATCATATCTTCATGTTAATTCTTCTTCCATTCTGTAATATAAATGAATTAAAAATGGCTGCTGTATATTGGCAGGCTGGTCCCATTTGTTCAATATCCTGTTGGTGCCAAGCTCAGATGTTTATACATCCAGTTTTGTTGTTGTTGTTGTTGTTGTTGTTTTTAAGTAGCCCTAGGGGCGCCTGGGTGGCTCGGTTGGTTAATCCTCCAACTTCAGCTCAGGTCATGATCTTGCGGTTCATGGGTTTGAGCCCTGTGTCGGGCTCTGTGCTGACAGCTCAGAGCCTGGAGCCTGCTTCGGATTCTGTGTCTCCCTTTCTCTTGACTCCTCCCCCTCTCTCTCTCTCTCTCTGTCTGTCTCTCTCTCTCTCAAAAATAAACATTAAAACAAATTTTTTTTAAGTAGCCATAAATTGTTTTTTTTGTTTTGTTTTTTATTTTGTTTTTTTGCCATTTCACTGTCTGCCTGATCTTCATGCCTGTGAAATTACGACAAACATCTGCTAATCAGAGATTAAGATCACCTCTGGCTGTCAAAGACCCTAAGCTGCTGGTGACTTCTAAACTTCTAAGCTGCTGGTGACTTCTCAGCCAGGCTGCTGAGAGACAACACGTAGGCATGTAAGTACCCTCTCCACATTACCTCTTCCTAAGACGCTACCTTGCCCTCTTCTACTTCAGGGTGGTAGCCACTGGAAGGTCAGATGCTGTGAAGGACCTCCCCTCATGCAGACCTGTCAGGGTGGCCCAAATAATGCTGCCTGCATGCTGCTGCCACCTCATGGTCACATCTTTCTCCTTCAGCCTGAAAACTCTTGAATTCAACCGTACATTCTTCCCAACGTTGAATGTTTTTCTGAATTGGAATTATTTGATTCTGTTGTATTGCTGCTAAAAAGAATGCATGGAAACAAATTAAAAACAAGGATTCTTTAGAATAAGTGAGCTAGTCACAGTGAAACACCTGGCCATTTGTACATTTTTGGAAAATGTTAAGCCATGATGTGAAAAACATCGTCCAGAATCTAAATCGGTCCATGCTGTAGGATCACCAACTTTATAATGAGCCCATCAGTGACACACTCTTTGAAAATCAGAAAAACACATAATTCCATAGTATAGAATACAATGGGGCATATATGTTTTCATCTTAGTGTAAAATATGTAAAATGGCTACTTTGGTCAATTATATTTATTGTGTATTCAATTTTTTATAACATACATGCTATTATTTAAATAAAACAGCAGTAAGAACATGAAAATGAGTAAGTGTCAACTGTTAGTAAATAACAGAACTCATTATGCAGTTACATGTGTTAAAACAATGATTATTCATATACTTTTAATATTATTACAGTTTTAGATTTATTTTAAAAAGAGTCCATATGGTACCAAATAAATGAGTATTTTCAAAGCTGAAAGCATTTGCATTATGTAGATACCCAGTCCTCCAAGAGGTGACATGTAACTTCCCACTTCTTGAGATGTACACTTATTTCTCTAGAGAGAACATACATCATGGACAGGGGAGAAACCTGAAAAGCACAACCTCAGCCGTGTGATGAAACATAAAATTAACAGTGGCAATTCATCTTGAGAGTAAACATTCTTCATATGAATCGATAAGGATGGCATTTTGCCTCTGTGATCTTGTGCCACCAAGCACATAACTCCAGTATACTCATTTGAAAAAAACATTAGAGGGGCGCCTGGTTGGCTCACTCGGTTAAGCATCAGACTTTGGCTCAGGTCATGGTCTCACAGTTCATGGGTCTGAGCCCCACATCGGGCTCTGTGCTGACAGCTCAGAGCCTGAAGCCTGCTTTGGATTCCGTGTCTCTCTCTCTCTGCCCCTCCCTCACTCACACTGTCTTTCTCTGTGTCTCAAAAATGAATAAACGTTAAAAAAAAAAATTAGACGTATACCAACTGAGGATCATCCCACAAAATACATTCTACAAAAGTACCCCTCAAAACTTTGCAGATCATGAAAAATATGGAAAGTCTGAGAATTGTTATAGGCAGGTAAAGCCTAAGGAGACAGGATGACTGGATGTAATGTGCCAGCTGGGATGAGTCTGGAACAGGAAAAGTTAAAACCTGAGCAAATCTGAGTAAAATAAACATTGGTCGATTATATCAATTTTTGATTACTATACCAACTCATGTGACATTAATAATCAACAAACTGAGTCTTAGGTATGTGAAAACTCTCAGTACTATCCCCACAATTTTTATTCAGTAAATCAAACCTATTGTAAAATTAAAAGTTTATTAGTAATCTTGGTTTATGTTTTTAACACATAATATGGCATAATTAGTCCTGCCCTGAGTGACTAGTATCTACTCTTATAGTTCTTACTATTATTTAAATAATAACATTTATGTTATAGAAAACTGAATGATACACAGTATTATGTAATTCGCAGAAACAGAAACATCTAGTTTCTATAGTTTATGTTAAGATAATAAAACATATACAACATATGATATATAATTATTTCTGATCTAGAATGGGTGTGTCACTGATGCACTTTTTATAAAGTTTGTGCCTACCATGACATTGGCTAATTAGTATTCATAAAGACAAAAACGACAATAAAAGAATAGTACCAACATGGGCGATATAGATTACTGTGGGGGATAATATGAAGTTGATGTTAAGACACTGTATTCCTAGGGTGTTGGCTGTTATTTCACCTCTTTCTTTTCTAATTTTATTTATTTTTGTCCTCTCTTCTTTTGTTAATGAGTCTGGATAACAGTTTATCAATTTGGTTTATCTTTTCAAACAACCAGCTCTGGTTTTCATGATGTGTTCTATTTTTTGTGTGTGTTTTTGTTTCCTTTATTTCTGCTTTAGTTTTTATTATTTCCTCCCTTCTGTATTTGGGCTTTGTTCTTCTAGGCTTAAGGTTAGTTGTTTTTTTGTTGTTGTTTGTTTGTTTTGGTTTTTTTTTTTTTTGAGTTTTTTCTTACTTCTTGAGGTAGGCCTGATTGCTATAACCTACCCTCTTATATCAGCTTTTGCTACATCCAAGACTTAAAGTTTTCATTCAAATTCCAGTTAGTTAACATCCAGTGTAATATTAGCCCCAGGTATACAATATAGTGATTCAACACTTGCATATGACACCTGGTGGTGCTCATCACCAGAAATGCAATCCTTAATCCCCATCACTTATTTTACCCATCTCCCACCCACCTCCCTTCTGGTAACCATTTGTTTCTCTATAATTTCTAGTCTGTTTCTTGGTTTCTCTCTCTTTCCTCCCCACCCCATCTCCTCCCTGTGTTCATTTGTTTTGTTTCTTAAATTCCACCTGTGAGTGAAATCATATGGTATTTGTCATTCTCTAACTTATTTCACTTAGTGTAATACTCTGTAGGTCTATCCGTGTTGGTGCAAATGGCAAGATTTCATTCTTTTTATGGCTGATACTATTCCATCACATATATCTATATATACCACACCTTCTTTATCCATTCAGCAATAATGAACACTTGAACTGCTTCCATAATATGACTGTTGTAAATAATGTTGCTAAAAACATAAGGGTACATGTATCCCTTTGAGTTAGTGTTCTTGTATTATTTGGGTAAATACCCAGTAATGTGATTGCTGGATCATAAGGTAGTTCTATTTTTAACCTTTTGAAGAACTTCCATACTCTTTTCCACAGTGGTTGCACCACGTTTGCATTCCCACCAATCAGTGCACAGGGGTTCCCCTTTCCTCATATCCTTGCCAACACCTGTTGTTTCTGTGTTGTTGATTTTACCCATTCTGACAGGTGGGAGATGATATCTCATTGTAGCTTTTTTTTTTTTTTTAACATTTATTTATTTTTGAGACAGAGAGAGACAGAGCATGAGCAGAGGAGGGTCAGAGAGAGAGGGAGACACAGAATCCGAAACAGGTTCCACGCTCTGAGCTGTCAGCCCAGAGCCCGATGCGGGGCTCAAACTCACGGACCGCGAGATCATGACCTGAGCCGAAGTCGGACGCCCAACCGACTGAGCCACCTAGGCGCCCCTCTCATTGTAGCTTTGATTTGTATTTCCCTGATGATAAGTGAAGATGAGCATCTTTTTATGTATCTGTTGGCCATCTGGATGCCTTCTTTGGAGAAGATGTTGCCCAATGTCTGTTGCCCTTTAGTTTTATTGATTGTTTTCTTCGCTGTGCAGAAGGTTTTTATTTTGGTGTAGTCTCAGTAATTTATTTTTCCTTTAATTTCCTTTGCCTAAGGAGGCATATCTAGAAAGAAGTTGGTACGTCCAATGTCAAAGAAGTTACTACCTATATTCTTTGCTAGGATTTTCATGGTTTCAGGTCTCACATTTAGGGTTTTAATTCATTTTGAATTTATTTATGTGTATGATGTAAGAAAGTGTCCAGTTTCATTCTTTCGCATGTTGTTGTTCAGTTTTCCCAACACCATTTGTTGAAGAGACTTTCTCCCATTGGATCATCTTTCCTGCTTTGTTGAAGATTAACTGATCCTATAATTGTGGGATTATTCCTGTGTTTTCTATTCTGTTCCATTGATGTCTGTGTCTGTTTTTGCTTCAGTATCATACTGTTTTGGAGCCACAGGAAGGATCCATTTCTGATTGATATAACAATCTCCTAGTCAGTTAGAGGTACTTGACTGAGAAATCATTATATCATTCATATATGGATGGATCCTTCCTCTGTCTCTGTGTTTCCATGCCTGAACTTCTGGCTGTGCCCAAGAATAAGGTAATCTTCAACAGTAGATGGGACATATGAAAAAGACACAGGAACCATCTGAAAGGATTGCCACTGATCAGATCAAGACAACCTGAACATCAAAATAAATCATGGCAGGAATGGTTTCCCAATACTGAATGATAAACAATCCATGAGTCTACAGTGATACCTAAAAAACATTTTTAAAATGGGGATTGGAGAAAAGAGAAATACCTTTACAAAAGATTACACACAAATAAAGGTAGAAATAGAAAATGGAGATAAGAAATCACCTTTTAAAAACCATCATTCTAACAGTTTGGCCACCAATTATCAGTAGATGCTAAAGTTGTTGGGTGAAATAATGTTGGGGCATAGGAAATGGACTGTGGGAACCCAGTGAACTTAATAACTAACATACAAAGAAACCAGGCTGTGTCATGTGGCTCATGATGCAGGGTCAGTGTGAAGGGCACAATATCAGACAGTAAAAGATTTTGAAAAGAGAAGAAAAAACAGAAAAGTATAGACAAATAGAATGCACATATTGGTGGTGAATGTAAAGTCCAAGAGAAGAAGGTCACATTGAATTCACTGGATAAAAAGATCCTGTTAAAAATCAACAACTAGCTAAACCAACCAACCAACCAACAACCATAAGCTGGTGACATGATACTCATCTAAAATGCAAGGTCATAGACATTTTGAAAATAAGACACTGGAAAAAACTAAAGTATGCAAACACCAATCAAAGAAAAGCTGCTCTGGGTATAGTAATATCAGATAAAATATACAGAAGGCAAAAAGCATTGCTAGATATAAAGCAAGTTGGTACAAAGTAATAAAAGGTATAGTTCACCAAGAAAGGAAAAGTTGTGCATCCCCATTTACATGGCTGGCAACCGTATAAAGGGAAGTATGCCAAAAACTGCAAGAAGAATCAAATCCTCAAGCAGAGTGGGAGATTTTTTCACAGCCCTCTCTCAGCAACTGATAATGGGCAGACCCCAAATCAGTAAGGATGCAGAAGATTTGAACAGGAAGCCATCTTAATATAGATTATATACATAGACATATATAGAAATATATGTAGGTAGTATATATAAACATATGTTAAATAAATAGTTAAAATAGATACAATAAAATATGTTTTAATATATTTTCCTAGTAGATATTAGGGAATACAAAATATAAACTTTAATATTATATATAATTAAATGTAAATAATACAAATATTACAAATACTATAAATAAATTTTAAAATCTAATGCATAATATATTAACATACAAAATTGTTATTTATAAAAATTAATACTTTATAATAACACTTATATTAATACTTATTAATATATTATAATTATGTATTATGTATTTTGTGTATGTGATTTATCATAAATATATATTATTTTAATATGGTATATTATAATCCATATAATAATTATAAGAAATACAATTATAAATATTAATATATAGATGTATAAATACACAAAATAAATGTAAATATAGGGAGAGAAATATATACAGAAATACTCTATCAATTTCTATGTGTATATATATAAAATATATGTATAATCTATAGATTTCTGCACATTTGCAATTATGTTCCAAGAACATCCTCTGTGGGTTTCATTCTTTTCAAATATATTTAGACTTGCTTTATGGCCAAACTATGGGAAAGAGGAGAGAGGGAAACAAACCACAAGAGACTCTTAACAATAGAGAATAAACTGAGGGTTGATGGAGGGAGGTGGGTGGGAGATGCACTGGATGAGTGATGGGTATTAAGGGGGGGCATTTGTGATGAACACTGGGTGTTGTGTGTAAGTGGTGAATCACTGAATTCTATTCCTGAAAACAATATTGCACCCTTATGTTAACTGAAATTTAAATGAAAAAAAAAAAAACTTTTGTAAACATATGACATGTGCTTAAAAATAATGTATCCCCAGCTGCCTGGGTGGCTGGGTCTGTTGAGCATCGACTTTGGCTCAGGTGACTGACGCCCTGTGAGTTCGAAGCTGGCATTGGGATCTGTGCTGACAGCTCAGAGCCTCCAGCCTGCTTCAGATTCTGTTGTCTCCTTCTCTGTCTGCCCCTCCCCCACTTGTGTGTGCGCGCTCTCGCTATCAAAAATAAATGTATAAAAAATTTTTTAAAAAAGTATTGCTTTAAACTTCAGCACTTTTTATTTTTTTATTTATTTTTTTATTTTTTTTTTCAAACGTTTATTTATTTTTGGGACAGAGAGAGACAGAGCATGAACAGGGGAGAGGCAGAGAACGAGGGAGACACAGAATCGGAAACAGGCTCCAGGCTCTGAGCCATCAGCCCAGAGCCCGACGCGGGGCTCGAACTCACGGACCGCGAGATCGTGACCTGGCTGAAGTCGGACGCTTAACCGACTGCGCCACCCAGGTGCCCCTCAGCACTTTTTAAAATTAAGACCTGTTATAGTTTTTTGGGTATTGAGCTATGGAAGTTCTTTATATATTTTGGATATGATTGCTTTATCAGAGTTGTCATTAGCAAATGTCTTCTCCCATTCAGTAGATTGTCTTTTAGTGTGAATGGGTAAAGAAGTGATTGATATATATATATCTATATATATATACATATATTGATTGATATCTATATATATAGATATATATCTATATATATAGATATATATATCACACAGCAATATTATTCAGCCATGAAAAAGAATGAAATCTTGCCATTTTCAACAACATGGATGGAACTAGAGAGTATAAGGCTAAGTGAAATAAGCCAGTCAGAGAAAGATAAATACAGTATGGTTTTATTCACGTGTGGAATTTAAGAAACAAAAGGTGGAACAAAAGGAAAGAGAAACAAACCAAGAAACAGACTTTTTTACTATAGAGAATAAGCTGATGGTTACCAAAGGGTAGTTGTTTTGGGGTATGGGTAAATTAGGTGATGGGGATTAAAAGGTGCACTTATCATGATAAGCACTGAGTAATGTATAGCATTGTTGATTCACTCTATTGGACAACTGAAATTAACAAAACATTGCATGTTAACTATACTGTAATTAAAACTAAAAACTTAAAGTATGTATAATTTGCATACAATAAATAAAATCAGAAAATTTATTATAAATGTAAAGTTTGGATCACTGATATAAAGGCAAATAAAAAGAAACCATTAAAAAGCATCAAAAAAAAAAACCCCAAAAAACAAAAACAAAAACAAAACCCTAAGCTAAAATGGAACCAAAACAGGGAAGGGAACAATGATATTCAATTGTATTTAGATGAAATTGCCTGCCTGAAAAGTCCCTTGAATGGGCTTTAGCTCATTGCAGTTTGAAAAAGGACAGTAGCAAGTATAAGACAAGCTCAAAAATGAATGGAGGGGTCAGGTCCCAGTGTACTCTGTCCCCTTGTGGGAATTGCTAAGGGAAACACTTTGGTGTTTTGATTCCATACAGATTAAAACTAATTAAGATGTCATTTTTACCTCTTAGGTATACAGAAAATGCACAAGTTTGATCACACTGTCAGCAAGACTTAGGGGAAACAGGCATTCTTAGACATTGCTGGTGGGAGTGTGAATATAAATTGGTAAAACAACAATTTATTAACTAGAGGGTATAATTCTAAGTGAAATAAGTCAGAGAAAGACAAATACCATATGACTTCACTGACATGTGCAATTGGAGAAACACAGCAAATGTACAAGCCAAAAAGAGACAAACAAAAAAACCAGACTCTGAAATACAGAGAACAAAATGGTGGTTGCCAGAGGGGAGGTGGGTGAGGGACATGTGAAACAGATACAGGGGATTGAGAGTGTACTTATCTTGACCACTGAGAAATATATAGAATTTTTGAATCATTATACTGTACATCTGAGAACAACATAACACTGTATGTTGATTATACTTCAATACAAAAATGAATAAACTGTACATGGGGTGCCTGGGTGGCTCAGTTGGTTGAGCCACCAGCTTCGGCTCAGGTCATGATCCCACCATTCTGAGTTCAAGCTCTGTGTCAGGCTCTGTGCTGATAGGTCAGAGCCTGGAGCCTGCTTCAGATTCTGTGTCTCGCTCGCTCTCTGTCCTTCCCCTGCTCACACTGTCTCTGTCTCGCAAAAAAGGAATAAATGTTTAAAAAATTCTTAAAAATGAATAAACTGTACAAACAAGTAAACAATTTAGGTATGGAAGGCAGTCTAATAAAATTAAAGATGCATATACCATATCCCCACAATTTCACCTTGTTTTAAAGTGAAAATTAGCGTACAGATTGGCTACCTTTGCGTAAGAGGGGATACAGATATTTATTTGCTTGATTGTGCATAAAGAACATGGGAAGGCACAAATGGAATTAAGAACAGAGATTTCCAAGAAGTAGAAGTCTGAGGATACTTTTTTTTTCTTTTAATAGCAGTTTTAGGTTTACAGCAACATTGAGCAGAAGGTACAGAAGTTTCCCACATGCTTCCTGCCCTCTACATGTATAGGTTCCCCTCTATCCATGTCTCCCACCAGAGATGTACATTCATTACAATAGATAAATGAACCTACATTGACACATCATTACCAGCCAAAGTCCAGAGATTTCATTAGGGTTGATTCTTGGGTTGTTCATTCTGTGGGATTGGACAAATTTTTGATAACATGTATCCACCATTATAGTTTCATACCCACTAGTTTCACTGCCCTAAACATCCTCTGTGCTGCACCTATTCATCCCTCCCCCTCCCTCTTCCCTAAGCCCTGATAGTCACTGACCTTTTTACTGTCTCCATCATCATGCCTTTTCTAGAATCTCATATAATTGGAATCCTAGTGTATGCAGCCTTTTCAGATTGGCTTCTTCCACCTAATAACATCTCTTTAGGTTTTCTTCCATGTCTTTTCAGAGCTTGATAGCTTCTTTCTTTTTTTAAATTTTTTTTAACATTTATTTATTTTTTAGACAGCATGAACAGGGGAGGGTCAGAGAAAGAGGGAGACACAGAATCTGAAACAGGTTCCAGGCTCTGAGCTGTCAGCACAGAGCCCGACGTGGGGCTCGAACCCACAGACCGCGAGATCATGACTTGAGCCGAAGTCGGACGCTTAACCGACTGAGCCACCCAGGCGCCCCGATAGCTTATTTCTTTACAGCACTTTACAGGAATAATATTCTTTACAGGAATAATATTCCATTGTTAGCTATACCACAGTTTACTTAACCATTCACCTATTGACAGACATCTTGGTTAAATCCCACTGTTGGAAATTATGAATAAAACTGTTCTAAACATCCATGTGTTGGTGTCTGTGTGGATAAAAGTTTTCAGCTGTTTGGATAAATACTAAGGAGCACAATCAGTTGTTGGACTGTAGGGGAAGAGTTTTGTAAGAACAACTGAACTGTCTGCAAAGTGGCCATACCATTTTGCATTGCCGCTATTCTAACAGATGTGTAGTGGTATCTCACTGTTGTCTTATTTTATTATTTTTTAGATGTTTATTTGTGAGAGACAGACCAGGAGAGGTGTGGGGTGGGTGGTGGGGACAGAGATTCCAAAGCAGGCTCTGTACTCACAGCAGCAATGTGGGGATTGAACTCATGAACCATGAGATCATGACCTGAGCCAAAGTCAGATGCTCAAGCAAATGAGCCACCCAGGTGCTCCCTCTCTATTGTTTTAATTTGCATTTCCCTTGTGACATATGATGTAGGGCACATTTTCATATGCTTATTTGCCACCTGTATGTCTTTCTGGTGTGGTGTCTTTGAAAGTCATTGCCCCATTTTTCAATTAGGTTGTTTTCTTACTGTTGAGTATGTTTTCTTACTGTTTGTGTATTTTGGTAACAGTCCTTTACAGATGTGTCTTTTGCAAATATTTTCTCCCAGTCTGTGGCTTCTAATTTTGTTCTTTTGATGAGAATGACTTCTTATTTGTTTTTACTCTTTAATATTTGGTTTGAATCATTGGACTCCAAAACTTAACAGTATGGTTTGAGGAAAAAAACCCTAAACTTGTTTGAGAATTTGCCCTGGAAAAATCTGGTGTACTTAAGCTTACTTTGTATTTCATAACATTGAAGCTAGAGTTGCAACTATGTGCTCATTCCTGGCATAAACACATACTGAATCAAGTGTTGTTTTTCCATTTATTTAATAAACATTTACTTTTTAAATTTTTTTTTCAACGTTTATTTTTTTGGGGGACAGAGAGAGACAGAGCATGAACGGGCGAGGGGCAGAGAGAGAGGGAGACATAGAATCGGAAACAGGCTCCAGGCTCTGAGCCATCAGCCCAGAGCCTGACGCGGGGCTCAAACTCACGGACCGCGAGATCGTGACCTGGCTGAAGTCGGACGCTCAACCGACTGCGCCACCCAGGCGCCCCATAAACATTTACTTTTTAAACTATACAATTGGTTGCCACTCACCCTGAGACTCCACTCTGGTTCTGCACTGCGAGTGGTGAAGGCATTTATTGTCCTGACCCCAGAATTCCTCTCCCATGACCAGGACCAGCTCACCCAGGAGCTGCAGCAGCATGTGAAGTCAGTGACAGCCCCATGTAAGTACCCGAGGAAGGTGATTGAGGGCAGATGGATGGGATCTGGTCCCCGCCAGTGGTTCCTGGGGCTCTGCTGCCCCAAATCCCCTAGCGTGGCCATGGAAAAGCTTATGTAGCCAACAGATTGAGCATTTTTCTCTACAGAAAAAGCATTTAACTTGGTGGTTTGGGGGAGCCAACTTAATCAGATGGAATCTTTATCTTTTGTCAGAAAACCAAAAGGAATCCATGGCTGGCAGGTCAACCTAAAAGGAAAAAATCACACAAGTGCCTAGAAATATCCAAGAAGGTTATTTGTAATCTTTAAAAACTGAAAAAGAAATTCCAGATGACTTCCACATATTTTATGTATGTATTTATTTATTTATTTATTTATTTATTTATTTATTTATTTATTTTTATTTATATATGAAATTTATTGTCAAAACTTCCACATGTTTTAAAAACATTATTTGTATTAAGAAATACATTGTAAATTGCAGCACAGTACACATATAGATACATAACAGATAAAAGCTAATGAACTAATATTTATTCTAACATACAATACATTATGATAGTTTTTATTCTGCTTCATTTGTTTTCAGTGCCCTGTTCAACCTATGGAAATGTCTAGCTGTTGAGAAATGATTAAATTATTCATGGTATTTGATGTTCTTATAATTTAAAAAGATGATGCAGATCTCTAGTTTGAAACATCAATATCACAGCAATATCTTACTAAGAGAAAAACAGCAGGCTGTAAATGAAAGTACATAACATCCTATTCATTGAAACACAGTTTGAAAGGATACATATGCCAAAATTTTAACATTTCCTTCTTTTGTAATCATACGTTGCTGCATTTTCTGAATGTTTACAATCAGGACATAAAGCCATTCAGCTAACATTTATTGAGCATTCACTATGGGTGCCAGGCTCTGGACTCAAAGATTTACAAGTTTTATAATTTCATTTAATTCCCTTCAAACTTAAGATGGTGTAACCATCCATTTTATGGAGTGAAAATGGAGGCTCAGAGACTCCCAAGTAAATTGCCTGCAGTTGGGGTTAATAAAACGATGGAGGTGTGTCTCATGTTCATGAAATACAGCCAGACCAACACTAAACCATCCTACACACCTAGAAAACTGATTGGAGGATTAACACAACAATCTGCACAACCTGAACCACAGAATTCAGGTACATGGCACGGAGAGCTCAACTTGGGGAGCGAGAAGCGGCAAAAGGTAGGGAACCACTTTTGTGGGCAGAGAGAGGATGGAGACTGGGGAGAGGGGGAGAATATGGGGAAAGCACCCCTCCCCAAAAGGAGCTGGAGAGAAAGTGGAAAATTGGAAACAGCCACAGGGACTAAACTAAAAAGGGAGAAAAGAGAAAGGAGAGGGTTTAAATTCCATTAAGACTGTAAACAAGGGGAGCGCAAAGGCTGCAATTACGCAGCTCGATACCTGGCGGTGCTCTGGTGGGAAGGGGAGAATCCCCAGGAAAAGAGTGGGGTCTGGGAGGTTCTCATGCCACACAGGGAAAAGCGGTGCCACTGCTGGTCCTAGCAGACCCCGGAAGGCAGCCACATTCGCTGGTGCTGGGGCAAGGTTGTTGAGGGTGAAGCCTGGTGCCAGATGTGTGTTGTGATTTTCCCTGGTCGCTGAAACGCTGAGGCTATACTATCTCGCAATCTTTTTGGGGGGCGGGATGCCACCTGGCCACAGTCTGGGGGCACCAGCAACAGCAGGGTCCAGCAAGCTTACTGGGTGCAGCCGATATTCAGCCATTGCTGATTCTGCCACTGCTCGGTGAGACCCTCCCACAGAGGGGCGGAGCAGGTCAAAGCCACAGTCCTTCAGAAGTAAGGGGCTGGGGAAAACAGCCACATCTGAGACAAAACTTGGGAGAGAGGTACTGCCTGGGGCCTGGTCACGGAGAGTGGAAAAGCAGGGAGTGGATGAGAGCTGAAGACAGAGGACCGGTGTGCAATTGCTGATCTGGGAGAACCGACTGGGTGGCTGGGTGGCTCCATTTTTCACCACTCCCACCAATGCGCACCGCAACAATCCACCCCAGTAGGCTAGCAGTGCCATCTAGTGGAGAGCAGAGCTGTTACACTGAGCCCCGCCCAACTGGGCCAACTTCGACCTTCAAGAACACAAGTTTCACTATCGGCTTAGTTTAGGGACTATAAAGTGCTACATGGACTGACTTTAACAAAGTAATTTCAGTCCTACTTCAATCTGTTAGGTCCACCTATTCAATTTTCTTTCATTTTTTTTCTCTTTTACACTTTTCCTTGAAAACAGAAAGAGAAAAAATTCACTTTTATTTTCAATTTTTATTAAAAATATCTTTCTTTAATTTTTATTACTATATTTTTTATTTTGTGTAATTTTTTTCAAATTCTACTTTGCTTCCATCATTTTATTTTAGTCTACTTCAGTGTACTCACCTTTTCAAATTTGCAATTTCCTTTTTTTTCTTTCTTTTTTCTCTTTTTTGTTTCTTTTCTTTTTCTTGAATGCAGAAAGAGAAAAACTTCATTTTTACTTTCAATTTCCATTAAAAATATTCTTATTTAATTTTCATTACTATTTTTGCTTTTATGTAAATTTTTTCAAATTCTATTTTGCTTCCATCATTTTATTTTAGTCTACTACAGTGTATTCACTTTTTTCAAATTTTCAAACGATTTCTTTCTTTTTTGTTCTTTTTTCTCTTTTTCATTGCTTTTCTTTTTTCTTAAATACAGAAAATGAAAAAAATCATACTTTTATTTTTTATTACAAATATTTTTCTTTAAATTTTTTTCTACTATATTCTTTACTTTTGTGTATATTTTTTCAAATTCTATTTTATCCCCATCATCTCATTTTGGTCGACTTCAGTGTATTCATTTTTTCAAATTCTCAAATGATTTCTTTTTTTTTCTCCCCCCCTTTTTTTCTCTAACCTGTCAAACCACTTTCAACACCCAGACCAAAACACACCTAGGATCTAGCATCATCTATTCAATTTTGTGTGTGTGTGTGTGAGTTTTTAATTTTTAATTTTAATGCTTTTTTATTTTAATTTTTTTAATTTCAATTTTTCTACCTCATTAATTCCTTTTCTCCCTTCAAAATGACAAAACGAAGGAATTCACCCCAAAAGAAAGAGCAGGAAGAAACGACGGCCAGGGATTTGACCAACAAAGATACAAGCAAGATGTCTGAACCAGAATTTAGAATCACAATAATAAGAATACTATCTGGAGTCCAAAATAGGTTAGAATTCCATTCTGCAGAGATAAAAGAAGTAAAAAATAATGAGAATGAAATTAAAAATGCTATAACTGAGCTGTAATCATGGATGGATGCCGTGGTGGCAAGGATGGACGAAGCAGAACAGAGAATCAGCGATATAGAGGACAAACTTATAGAGAATAACAAAGAAGAAAAAAAGAGGGAGATCAAGGCAAAAGAGCACGATTTAAGAATTAGAGAAATCAGTGACTCATTAAAAAGGAACAACATCAGAATCATAGGGGTCCTAGAAGAGGAAGAGAGAGAAATAGTGGTAGAAGGGTTATGTGAGCAAATCAAGGTGGAAAACATGCCTAACCTGGGGAAAGACACAGACATCAAAATCTAGGAAGCACAGAGGACCCCAATTAGATTCAACAAAAGCCTACCATCAACAAGGCATATCATAGTCAAATTCACAAAATACTCAGGAAAGGAGAGAATCATGAAAGCAGCAAGGGAAAAAAGTCCTTAACATACAAGGGGAGGCAGGACAGGTTTGCAGCAGACCTATCCACAGAAACTTGGCAGGCCAGAAAGGAGTGGTGGGGTATATTCAGTGTGCTGAATCAGAAAAATATGCAGCCAAGAATTCTTTATCCAGCAAGGCTGTCATTCAAAATAGACGAAGAGATAAAAAGTTTCCCAGACAAAAATTAAAGGAGTTTGTGACCACTAAACTAAACCTGCAAGAAATTTTAAGGGGGACTTTCTGAGGGGAGAAAAGATGGAAATGTGTGTGTGTGTGTGTGTGTGTGTGTGTGTGTGTGTGTACCAAAAGCAGTAAAAGATTAGAAAGGACCAGAGAACACCATCAGAAACTCCACCTCTACAAGCATCATAATGGCAATAAATTCATATCTTTCAGTATTCACTCTAAACGTCAATGGACTCAATGGTCCAATGAAAAGACATAGGGTAACAGAATGGATAAGAAAACAAGATCCATCTATATGCTGTTTACAAGAGACCCACTTTAGACCTAAAGACACCTTCAGATTGAAAATAAGGGGATGGAGAACCATCTCTCATGCTAATGGTCAACAAAAGAAAGCCGGAGAAGCCATACTTATATCAGACAATCTAGACTTTAAAATAAAGACTGTATCAAGAGATGCAGAAGGGCATTATATCATAATCAAGGGGTCTATCCACCAAGAAGACCTAACAGTTGTAAATATTTATGCACCAAATGTGGCAGCACCCAAATATTTAAATCAATCACAAACATAAAGAAACTCATCGATAGTAATACCATAATAGTAGGAGATGTCAACACCCCACTCACAGCAATGGACAGATCATCTAATAAAAAAATCAACAGGGAAACAATGGCTTTGAATGACACACTGGACCAGATGGACTTAACAGATACATTCAGAACATTTTATCCTAAAGCAGCAGAATATACATTATCTCCAGTGCACATGGAACATTCTGCAGAATAGATCACATACCGAGACACAAATCAGCCCTAAGTAAGTACAAAAAGATCGAGATAATACCGTGCATATTTTCAGACCACAACACTATGAAACTTGAAATCAACCACAAGAAAAAATTGTAAAGGCAACAAATACTTGGAGACTGAAGAACATCCTACTAAAGAATGAATGTGCTAACCAAGCAGTTAAAGAGGAAATTAAAAAGTATATGGAAGTCAATGAAAATGATAACACCACAACCCAAAACCTCTGGGACGCAGCAAAGGTGGTCATAAGAGGAAAGAATATAGCAATCCAGGTCTTCTGAAAGAAGGAAGAAAGGTCTCAGATACACAACCTAACCTTATGCCTTAAGGAGCTGGAAAAAAGAACAGCAAATAAAACCCAAAACCAGCAGAAGACAGGAAATAATAAAGATTAGAGGAGAAATTAATGCTATTGGAAGCAAAAAACAAACAAACAAACAAACAAACCCAAAAAACAGTAGAACAGATCAATGAAACCAGAAGCTGGTTCTTTGAAAGAATTAACAAAATTGATAAACCACTGGCCAGTTTGATCATAAAGAAAAAGGAAAGGACCCAAATAAATAAAATCAAGAATGAAAGAGGAGAGATCACAACCAACAAAACAGAAATAAAAACAATAATAAGAGAATATTATGAGCAATTATATGCCAATAAAATGGACAATCTGGAAGAAATGGACAAATTCCTAAAAACGTATACACTACCAAAACTGAAACAGGAAGAAATAGAAAATTTGGACAGACCTGTAACCAGTAAGGAAATCGAATTAGTAATCAAAAATCTGCCAAAAAACAAGAGTCCAGGGCCAGATGGCTTTCCACGTGAATTCTACCAAACATTTAAGGAAGAGTTAACACCTATTCTCTTAAAACTGTTCCAAAAAATAGAAATCGAAGGAAAACTTCCAAACTCTTTCTATGAAGCCAGCATTACCTTGATTCCAAAACCAGACAGAGACCCCACTAAAAAGGAGAGCTATAGACCAATTTCCCTGATGAACATGAATGCAAAAATCCTCAACAAGATATTAGCCAACCGGATCCAACAATACATCAAAAAACTTATTCACCAAAACCAAGCAGGATTTATACCTGGGATGCAGGGCTGGTTCAATATACGCAAAACGATGGGATTCATCACATCAATAAAAGAAAGGACAAGAACCATATGATCCTCTCAATAGATGCAGAGAAAGCATTGACAAAATACAGCATCTTTCTTGATAAAAACCCTCAAGAAAGTAGGGATAGAAGGAGCATACCTCGAGATCATAAAAGCCATATATGAATGACCCAACGCTAATATCATCCTCAATTCGGAAAAACTGAGAGCCTTCCCCCTGAGGTCAGGAACAAGACAGGGATGTCCACTCTAGCCACTGTTATTCAACACAGTATTGGAAGTCTTAGCCTCTGCAATCAGACAGCACAAAGAGATGAAAGGCATCCAAATCAGCCAGGAGGAGGTCAAACTTTCACTCTTCACAGATGACATGATACTCTATGTGGAAAACCCAAAAGATTCCACCACAAAACTACTAGAATGTATTCATGAATTCAGCAAAGTGGCAGGATATAAAATCAATGCACAGAAATCGGTTGCATTCCTATACACCAAGAATGAAGCAACAGATAGAGAAATCAAGGAATCGATCCCATTTACAGTTGCACCAAAAACCATAAAATACCTAGGAATAAATCTAACCAAAGAGGTGAAAAATCTATACACTGAAAACTATAGAAAGCTTATGAAAGAAATTGAAGAAGACACAAAAAAATGGAAAAAGATTCCATGCTCCTGGATAGGAAGAACAAATACTGTTAAAATGTCGATACTACCCAAAGCAATCTACATATTCAATGCAATCCCTATCAAAGTAACACCAGCATTGTTCACAGAGCTAGAACAAATAATCCTAAAATTTGTATGGAACCAGAAAAAACCCCAAATAGCCAAAGCGATCTTGAAAAAGAAACCAAAGCAGGAGGCATCACAATCCCCGACTTCAAGCTATACTACAAAGCTGTATTCATCAAGACAGTATGGTATTGGCACAAGAACAGACACTCAGTTCAATGGAACAGAATAGAGAACCCAGAAATGGACTCACAAACATATGGCCAACTAATCTTTGACAAAGCAGGAAAGAATATCCAATGGAATAAAGACCGTCTTTTCAGCAAGTGGTGCTGAGAAAACTGGACAGCGACATGCAGAAAAATGAACCCGGACCACTTTCTCACACCATACACAAAAATAAACTCAACGTGGATGAAAGACTTAAGTGTAAGACAGGAAGCCATCAAAATCCTTGAGGAGAAAGCAGGCAAAAACCTCTTTGATCTTGGCTGCAGCAACTTCTTACTCAACATGTCTCTGGAGGTAAGGGAAATAAAAGCAAAAATGAACTACTGGGACCTCATCAAAATAAAAAGCTTCTGCACAGCAAAGGAAACAATCAGCAAAACTAAAAGACAACTGACAGGATGGGAGAAGATATTTGCAAATGACATCTCAGATAAAGAGTTAGTATCCAAAATCTATAAAGAACTTATCCAACTCAACACCCAAAAACAAATAATCCAGTGAGGAAATGGGCAAAAGACATGAATAGACACTTCTCCAAGGAAGACATCCAGATGACCAACCGACACATGAAAAAATCCTCAACATCACTCATCATCAGGGAAACACAAATCAAAACCACAATGAGATACCACCTTACACCTGTCAGAATGGCCAACATTAACAACTCAGGCAACAACAGATGTTGGTGAGGATGCGGAGAAAGAGGATCTCTTTTGCATTGTTGATGGGAATGCAAGCTGGTGCAGCCACTCTGGAAAACAGTATGGAGGTTCCTCAAAAAACTAAAAATAGAACTACCCTATGACCCAGCAATTGCACTACTAGGCATTTGTCCATGGGATACAGGTGTGCTGTTTCAAAGGGACACATGCACCCCCATGTTTATAGCACCACTATCAACAAGAGCCAAAGTATGGAGCCAAATGTCCATCGATGGATGAATGGAAAAGGAAGATGTGGTATATATATACAATGGAGTGTTACTCGGCAATCAAAAAGAATGAAATCTTGCCATTTGCAACTACGTGGATGGAACCGGGGTGTATTATGCTAAGTGAAATTAGTCAGAGAAAGACAAAAATCCTATGACTTCCCTCATATGAGGACTTTAAGGGACAAAACATGAACATAAGGGAAGGGAAACAAAAATAATATAAAAACAGGGAGGGGGACAAAACCGAGGAGACTCATAAATCTGGAGAACAAACTGAGGGTTACTGGAGGGGTTGTGGAGGGGGGAATGGGCTAAATGGGTAAGGGGAATTAAGGAATCTACTCCTGAAATCATTGTTTCACTATACGCTAACTAATTTGGATGTAAATTTTAAAAAATAAAAAAATTAAAAAAATAAAAGGATGGAGCTGGAACTCAGACTTACATGTATCTAACAACAGAGATCATGCTTTGAGTGTTAGGCTGTACTGCCTCATAGAGAGGAGAATGCAAGATGCATACCAGTTAGTATGGACTAGATGTTATTGTGGGTAATAAATAGCCTCAAAGTCTTAATGGCTTATAATAAGGGAAGTCTCTTCCTTGCTCATGCCACATGTCCACGATGGTCCTCCTGAGACCAGGATAAAAGAGCACCCATCATAGGTAACTCCCAGGTGCCATAAGAGATGGACAGAGAGGTGACCAGACACAGTTGTTCCCAAGTATTGTGTTTGAGGTGGCACAATTCACCCCCACTCACATTTCACTAGTTAGAGCACATCACAGGCCTGTGTCTAGCTTTCCAGGAGGACAACGTGGCATGTTTGGTGGAGTCTAGTGAGGCTACCACAAGGTACCAGCCTGTCTGGGGACTGTGCAGGGGCAAAGGAGGGACGTGTGGAATATTGGTAGGAAATGGTAGCAGGACTAAGGATGGGTTCTTCCTCAACTAGGTGGAATTTGTCCCAGAGCTGCCCAAAATCATCACTGGCAAGACTAAGAGAAGTGAACTTTGGAAAAAGGAGTTTGGTCAGATGTAATCAGCAAAACACTCAGAAACCACTGTGTGGTCATGGACAATCCCTGACTGCCTCAGTTTCCCCACAATGGAGAGGATGAGGAGGGAGTGTTGGGCAATGATCTGTAACTGCATCAAGAGTGCCCACATTCCAACATTTTTGTTCTTTTAAATTAGTATCAGTTCCTATCCTTCCTCCAAATCCCTGGGTAAGTGCTCAAATGTGGCCTGGGTAAGAGAACACTGACATCAGCAGCCAAGGTGACCCTGTGTTGTGGTTTTATCCTGTGAATGAACTGGCACTAAATGCTGTCCTTGCATAATTCTCTCCAAGTCCCATAAGAGAAATTTCCAGGGCTAGATTCTCCCTCCTGGTTCCAGGGGCCCTGGGTGACTCCTTATGCCCGTTCAACAACTAGGACACAGAGGTCAGGGGGACACTCCTGTGGCCTCAGGTGTCCATCTCTGCCTGGTTTGCCCATGCCCTGCTGGAGGTGATGCCAGGGCCAGAGCTAGTGAGGTGTCTGGGGAAGGGAGAAGGGGCCGAGGGCAGCCCAGCGTGGTGACCCCACTTGCTTGTAAGACCATGGCTCACTGCTCCATCCACCATCCCATGGATCTGCTGCCTCTGCTGCCTCTGAATGCTGCTGCTGCTTCCCGGCCCCAGCCTGTACCAGCACAGGTGAGTGAGGGATCTGCCCCTTGGGGACTCACGAGTCCTGCAGGACTCCTCCAGCTCTTTCCCAGGGTGCCCAATCCTGCCTTCCTTCCGTGGGTCCCAGGAGCTCTGTTTCCCCAGCCCTCCCTTGGGGTCATCACTCACTTACCCTTCCCAGGGTCCAGGAATAGTATTCTCAGCCTCACCAGGGGCCCAGAGCCCCCACTCCACCCCCACTTTATCACCTCCTCCTGCCATCTGCAGCTCTCCCAGCTGCTGGCCTGTGATTCTGAGCTAACCCTTCACTCTGTCCATCCCTAGGGACTGAGATGGCACCACAAAGGCCGGGGGTGGGGGGCGGGGGGCACCAGAGGATGAGAGAAAAACGGGCAGAGGGAGCTGAGCCTGAGGGTGGGGAAAGCACATATTGTCTCTTGCTCATCCACCCCAGGAGTCACCCTTGAAGGGCCTCCTCTGCAGCTGCTTACTTCTGAGCTGCACAGACACACATGTGCAGAGGAAGAAACAGACACCACAAACACAGAGACACACAGGCATGGAACCACCCACAGCCTCATCTGGGGACTCAGGTATGGGGCTCATAGACAGGCTCACACACAGACCTACACAGCAGAGGAAGAGAGAGGGAGAGGAGAGAGGGAGAGTGAGCGAGATCTCTCTCTCTCTCTCTCTCTCTCTCTCTCTCTCTCACACACACACACACACACACACACACACACACACACACATACAGAGGTACATACACTCAGGGATACATACATTCAGGGACATGTGCAACACTCCCATGAAGGAAACCCTACACACACTGGGCACACACAGAAACCATACACACACAGTTGTGATCAGAAACACCCAAAGTGACAGCAAATTCACACATACAACCATTACACGCACAGACACGAAACACAGATACACACAGATACTCCCACAGGGACACACGTACCCGAGAGATACAGATAATGCATACAGTCACAGACACAGAGATTTGCACAGCAGATATATGCTCATTCAGAGACACAGACACAGACACAGATAACACATGCATACAGATAAACACAGGAGGAAAATGATGAGGGAGCATAAGGCAAGCTGCCAGGCCTCAAACCCCTGACCCCTCCCCCAGGTGGGATATGTGTGATATCCCTTGGGCACTCCTGGCTGCCCAAGAACAAAGCGAAAGGAAAAAAAACAAATGGTTACCTGATAGAGATCATAGTCCCGCAGGGCTTGTCTCCATCTATTTGCAAATATCTTAGTAAATCACGAGAAAAAGGCAAAGTCAGTAGTAATCTCCAGAAACCTATGGACTTGGTTTCCTAGAGCCCCAGCATCATCCCTCCATAGTGATGCCATAGGAAACTAAGGCAGAAGGAAATGGCAGATAGAACTAAATTTCCTTATAACCTGCAGCCCATTGACAGATATTTGAGGCCAGCAGAGTGAAACATTTCTCCAGGAACTCCCTCTGTCTTAATGCTAATGCTTTGCAAGAGGGCAAACAACCCTAGTTTGACAATAGCTAGGCCTCCAGTATCCTGGGAGTCTTCTTTAGCATATGAAAGTCTCATTGGAAACTACCTGGACTTGACCTCCCTGCCAGCTCCACAGTATATAACTATTCTCTCCTCATGGTGCCTGGGCAGCTCTTCAGCCAGGGCCACTGGTCCTGTCCCCGTGCTTTAATGAAATCACCTTTTTGCACCAAAGACGACTTCAAGAATTCTTTCCCCACGAACCCCACTGTCACCCCCAAACCTCATCAGAAAACATGAAAACAACCAAATAACTGGAAATTCATGTCCACAGTCAATATACCCACAGACACAGAACTCCGACTCAGGTACATGATGCATATTACACACACACACACACACACACACACACACACACACACACTCCAGGACAGCTCTGGCACTCTAGTGGAGGCCACTACAAGAAGAAGGGGTGCACAGACCCTGGTATGACCTGTCCCATCTAAGTTGTCATGGAAGGGGGTGTTTTCCTGTTTCCAACCCTGTGCTGGGCATGTGCCCCATGTCAGTGACTTACGGAGGTTGTGCCCAGGCCTGGATTTCAGAGACTGGCCAGGATAGGGTGGCCACAGGGACAGGGGCACAGGGTAGAGACAGGGTCCACTTAGAGTTGGGGTGTTGCATGGGGCCAGGTCAAGTGAGGGAGACAGTTGAGTCTCTCCAGTCAAAGTGGGCTGCGCCCTCTCCCGCAACAATAAAGCACTGATGGCATCATCAGGACTAATATATGACAGCATTATCATCACCACAGAGATGAATGGCCTGAGGTGCAGAAGCCGGCCTGTGACCTTGCTGCCTGGTTTGGCCTCAGCTTCGGTACAGGCTGACCTGAAGCAAAGCTGGGCTATGGGGCCAAGCATCTTTGTGGCCCCTGCTCCTTCTGGAGTCTCCAGGCCCCAGCTTCCCACTCTCCCAACATCCCCTCCCAGACCCAAGTCAGCAGTGAGCCTTTTCTCAGCCTGGGTCCAGCCCTCCCCTTGAGGGCTCTGAGCCTGGTTCCCCATCTGTGCAAGGGGTTAGGGATGGTACCGTAATGCCCCCGATTTCGAATCCGAGAGACCACCAAGGAGCCGATACCGATGCAAACGCACAAGGGTTTATTTGCCAGCTTGAGCTTGGGCCCAAGTGTACCCAACACAGCGGAGCAGGGACTTGGACCCCTAGGTTAAGAGGCGTAGCAGTTTTATAGGGGCCAGTGGCCAATGAGATTGTAACACACACAGAAAGTTGCATAGTCACATCAGTCCACACGCAGGTGGCCAATTAAATTACAATTTACCCTATAGTAACTGTTTGAACTAGCCTATCACTCTGGTCAGAATTGGCGCGCAAGTTTGGCGAGCAAAAGGCGGGGTTTACATTCTTTGGCGATTAGGGATTCTGCATTCCTAAATGAGCCAGTTTCCAGTAAGGGTGTGCTCAGTGGTTTGACTAGGGTGGGGGAGTGTCTTAAGCAATAAGTAGGTCATGTGGGGGTTGTACATGAGATGGTGGGTGTAGCACAAAATGGAGTTAGTCTTGCTCTGCTTGTCCAGGGGTAGGGGAATTTTGTTAAATTCCTTGGGTCCCACAGTACTGCTGCTGGGTCCTGAGAGGTGATGTCTGCAAAGGCAAAGGCTGGGCACAGACCTGAAACTGGAGGGAACTGTGGTTTTCACCTTTGTTGCCTTTAACAGCTGTGCAACTTTTAAGGCACCAGACTGGGAAGACACAAGCCCCAGGGAGGTGATGACGCTGATATCCACCAGTGCTCAGCACGTAGCTTCCTCTTGTCCTCAGCACAGTTCTGGACACAGGCATGGACACTCCCAGTTTACCGAAGGAAACCAGCCCAGTGTCACACAGGTGGTAAGCAGCACACTGGATCTCAAACTCTAGGCTCCTGGCCCTGCCCCCACGGCCCACGAAGGGCTCCCAGATGGGAGGCTGACATTGGCTTTGGAGACCCTTCCTCACCTCCATGAATCATCTCACTTGTTCAAGGCCCCCCAGACTCTGTTCACGGCCTCTTCTTTCCCTGGTCCCTGCTCCAGTTATAATTAGGGTGACCCTGGCCACCCTTCATGGAATTCCCTAGGCCCCCTTATAGTCAGGGCCTCTATCCCATTCACTTTTGTGCCAGCCGGACTCCACCCCTTCTGTAGCTGGTCTCTCCTTGTATAACCAGGACAGCCCAATACTGGGGCTCTTTAGGCAGGCAGCAGGATCTAAAGGGAATGTAACACTATTGGTTTTTCACTCCTGTTTTGTTTTGGTTTTGCTTGTTTTGTATGGTTTCTTTGTATTTAAGTTGGAGCCCTTGCTTTGCTATTTTAACAGTGCCAGAGTGTTTCCTGTTATAATAAATTTACATAAAAATAAAAGTGAGGGATTTAGAGCAGTGATTTTCAGTTGGGGAATCATTGAGTCAATCATGTAGAGAAACTATTTAGGAAGCTCAGCCCAGGACAGAGCCCGGGAGAGATGATCACAGTAGGTTTGTCTAGTCACCTGGGTCCCTGGCCCCTGGCCTCTGCCCACCTGCTTGGCCCTCCCCTCCCAGCATGCCTGGTGCTGCCAACAGTCTGGGTGTTGTCCCGGGTCCCCAGGAGAGAAGCTGATGAACTATTTCTCTTAAAATGCTCTCATTCCTGGAGATCGCAGGAGATCCCTGTGAGTCAGCTGGATTTCCTGCCTTCCTCCCACCCCCCGCCACCCCCATAAGGTTCATAATGTACAGCCCATGCCAATAGGTAGGAGGGTCACACAGGTAAGTGACAGATCTACCACTGGTTGTGTTAAAATGTCTAGGTCAATTAGAGATGATTTGGGGACC